GAAGGAGGCCATGTTCGCGGCGCGCGGGATCGCGGCCCCCCTCGCCCGCCTCCGGCCCGCTCCCCTCCCCCTGCGCGCTGCCCTAGCCGTGCGGGTCTCCTCCCCCTGCGCCGCCGTCCCCTTTCCACATCCTAGGAGCCGCGGTCCGCCTACCGCCCCCGGGCCGCGGTGCGGCTCCCAGCCCGGGCTTGCCTCCGCCTCCTGGGACGCGCGCCCACCCCCGCGGCCCCCCAAACTTCGGAGCAACTCTCCAGACGCTTCTCCCCCGCCTCGGTCTCCCTCCTTTCCACTTCTCTTCCCCCCTTCCTTCCCTCTTTCTTTCTCTTTCTCTCTCACCCGCTTTTCCTTCTATTAACTTTCCTTTCCCCTCCCTTCGTCCTTCCTACTTTTACTCCTGGGCTCCTCCCCCCTTTGCGCAGCCACAAATCAATCTCTCTCTCTTTTTTCCCCTCTCTCTCTTCTTTGCTCAGACGCAAAAAAGCGCCGCTTTTTGGAAATCCGGACTGCTGTCCCCGCTGAAACGATACTTTAAAAAAGGAAGAACCCACTGGCTCTTATTTCTGTTTAAAGCAGTAGATCCCGAACTCTTTTGGCCCACTGCCCCCTTGGTTCCACATCCCCCAGTGTCCCTTATGCTTACTCTATAGAAAGCATTACAGGGGTTAACGCGGCTCGCTAAGGAAGATATTAATAGAATTCTGCATTTGGGGGGAGACCCTAACAGTCATCTACCATTACCTTCTATGCTGTTACTATTTTTTTATTTTTTTTTTACATAAGTAAAAAGTGACCTTTCCCCATCTGGCATGGTGGTGTGCCTCGAGATTTTTTTCATGACACAAGTGTGCCTTTGCCCAAAAAAGGTTGGGAAACACTGTCCTAGTGGTCTGGGGGTAGGTGGGAGCTTTGCTCCTCTGCCTAATGGGGTGCCCCCCTCCTCCTCACCTGGCAAACTCAGAACAATGCTGCCGAACAGAGCTAAATGCAGACTTGTTGCAGAATTTATGCAAATATGGTTGCAAAATTTACTGAGCTTGCAGAAGCGCGCGCACGCGCACGCGCGCGCACGCGCACACACACACACACACAGCATTGCCTGGGTACAATTTTTTATTTTATTTCTTGAAGGAGGCTACTGTTATGATTTCTCGAGGGACTGTCCCCGCCCCTCCTTGAAGCAGATCAGCGTGTCTGGAATCAGGCAGTGGAATCTTAACTATGCAGTCATGCTGGGACCAGTGCCAATTATGAAGCAAGTATTTAACAATATGCGTGTGTCTATATGTGCCGGAGGGCGTGGCTGAGAAGACTTTAGGTCTTTTGTCTACCTGGATATCCTCCTCACTGATCGCCGGCTGATAAACCAAAGCAAAGCAAACTTCTCCAGAAAACACTGGTGTTTCCACCCCTTAGCCCACATTTCTTTCTTTCTTTGAAGGATCCAATAGCCAGGAAGAGGGACCATCCAGTCCACAGAATTGCCACAAGCTTAACAAATCGCAGCTGAGGATTTAAACTTGGAAGCTGTCCGGCGCCTGTGGGTTCTCCCCCTCCTCTGCCTCCTGCAGGGTCAGATGGGTTAAAGCCAACAGCTGACTGTGGTGGCCTGGAAACCCCCCAGCAAGGGCTCCTCTGTCAAGTGAGCAATTCTCCAGTGGGAAAGCAGAACTGAGGCAATGCAGAACAGAAGCTTTGGAAGACAAGGGCTTTTAAATAATAAAGATGAAATGGTCAGCCAAAATCAGCCTAGGGTCAGAGGAAGAGATTGTGTGTTTGTTTTTGTTTTAAATAGAAAGCTAGCAGAATGAAGACCAACAGTTGTTACTCTGGGGCATGATTCATACTGCCAAAGGTTGCAGAATTATAGCTGATTGGGAGGGTCTTGGGCAATAAGCCTAGTTTGCCAAAAGATTAAAACAAATAAATGGCACTATAAGTGACAGGAAAACACACAGGAAAGTGCAGGGTGACATTTGGCTCTGACACAATGTCATCTAACTTCCCTGCAATCGAATCAGAATGAACGCTCACTAAATAGCCAATGTCGTCTAAAATTCCTGCAAACAAACCAGAACAGATCCTTAATAACCTGCTTGTCTTAATAACCAGTAGGGGACAATGCCAGAACTTAGAATGCGAGGGGGTAACTTAAGTGAGGATGTCTAAATGTGTGTCTCCAAGGAGAACAAGGTAAAGTGTTAGTCTCCCAACTCAAGAGGACTGGCTTTAAACAGTGCGGGCTAGAAGTCCGGCTCATTTACCTTGATCTACCTTCATTTGCTCACACAAAGCTTACGTAGAGGCCAGATACTGCATGGTACTCACTAGCATTCATTCTGAGCTTGGGAAGGGCAGTTTTACAGCAATGAGCATCCACCCTGATTTGCCAGGGTGTTCAAGTGTGTTTCCATGTCTTCCTGTTAAACATTTGTTCATCCCACACTTTTCAGCACACTTCTCCATTACTTTCCTAAGTTGTTGTATTTTAAGTGGATTTGTTGCACTGGGCTAGGGCAACCCAGTGCTTTAATTCACAACCATCACACAAACCTAAAGTTCTGGTTTGGGCCTGAATCCCTCACACTAAATTACTGACCATCTGGGGGCACCCTGGACCTAGATAAAGGTTCAAAACATGGGTCTGGCCACTGGCTCCCAAGAAAATCACTCTCTTTCTCAGCTTCAACCCCTTTTTTGCTAAGGGGGAAAGGGTGATCTTAAGGCACTGCTCACCCACCTCCGGGGTAATAGTTCCATTTCACTACCAACCTAAGGAGCTGAGGCTGGCATTTTGTTTTGTTTTTTTGTTCTCACAAGCAGAATGGGTAAGGAGACTGCCCTTTACTAAATAAACAAAATCTATCACATTGGTTTTCTACATTCTTCATTTTTCAAGTCTTAAGATCACTTCTCCTCAAGAAAATTCATCAATATTTTTATGCAAATTTCTAATGACTACATTTTTGTATGCAGTTTTTGTCTAATAAACATGTTTTTGCAAGCAATTTCTCCTAATGTACAGCATTTTTGTATGTCTTGTTTTACTAGATAACTGCATTGCAAAATCTGGAGAAGTGGGAATTAGGTATTTTCTTATTAAAAAAATGCACTTCTTTTACATCCCTATGTAAAACTAGTTCCTGGAACTTTTCTCTACCCTGCCTTCTTCACAAGAACACTACTGCTTTAAATGCATAGTGAAGATGAGGCCTTATTCCAGAGAGCCAGCAAAAGTGACATTCATTTTCAGTGGCTGAATTCCACTGCTGCCAGAGCAGCCTCCCTCATCATGGTACCTCCAGTTGTCAGGACTCCAACTCCCATCACCGCTGACCATTGGTTACATTAGCTGGGGCTGATGGGAGCTGTAGTCTAACCATGTCTGGAGGATACCAGGTTAAGCGAAAGCAGCTGAACTACAATTCTCATCATCCCTGTGCAGGTTGGGGCTTATGCAAACACCTGCAGAGAGTTGGGGGAGGCTGAAAGATTCTAGTCCTGATAGAGAAGGAAGAAAGTATATTCCAAAATATTCCAAAAATCAACTGAACATCACCAGTGAAGGAAACAAAATGGCGCAGAAGGAGCTACTGGGATGGAACTAGGAAAGATCCTCTATGCACCCTCATTTATTGCACAGTTGATTTTCAAAGGCAATGGATGGATGGGCAATACAGCACGTGGTTCTGGATGCAGAAAGCCTAAGAGTCAAATCTAATTTCAAGGCTTGCAAGCAGCAGAGCTAGAACAGGCCCCTGCAGTGGACCATGGAGAGATGTCGTTGTTTAGAATAGGTTAGGTAAGTGCCATTCAACCTTGGATCCCTAGATGTTGTTGGACTACAACTCCCAGCATATCTCCCCATTGGCTAAGGGTGTTTCTCATCATGGGACTCCCTGGCAAATGTCCCTACTCCTGTCAGCTACTAGCCACCTCTTCCCCTCCCTCCCATATATTCCTGCTGGATGCAAGGTGTGGAGCTTACCTGAAGGACCAGCCCAGACATTGTGGTCTTCATCAGAGGCTTTTCTCTGTGTGCTTTGACTGCGGCCGGTATGGAGTGACCCCATGAGAACAAGCCCTTTTCAGTGGCGCCTGCCCTTACCCTCCCAGTTTGTGGAATGCTCTTGCTAGGGAGCTTTCTGGCCTCAGGTTAGACAGTTTTTATTACTCAGACCCTTGGTAGTGAAGCAAGCCTCTACTGTGATGCTCACCTTTGAGAGGGGTGTGGTAGGACTTGTCCCACTAATTGGATGAGTGTTTTAGGAATGTTGTATGGTACAGTGGTTTAACAATCAATTCCTTGTCCCAGGGAACTCTGGGAATAGTAGCTTCATGAGGAAAGTAAGGGGTCTCCTAATAACTCCCAACACCTTTAACAAGTTACAGTTCCTAGGATTCTGTGGATGAAGCCATGACTGTTTAAAGTGGTACAAAGTAGTGCAGTGGCAAATTCAGATGTGCAGGGTCCCTTCACGATAGTCATAGCTATGCTCCCTCACAGCTGAAGCCCCTTGTCAGTGTTCCTAAGTGCTTAGCTTTGGTGCATGCATAACAACTTCTCCAGAAGTTGTTCTTCTCCAGAGTTTCCCTGAGGAGTCAATCCTCAGCGGCTGGCTCATCTCCTTTCACTCTGATTGGCTCCAACCAGCTCCAATCAGCACAAAGGGTGAGAAGACTTCTCAGTAGCCGAAAAGCTCCTCTTTCACGCCAATCAGGATGCTGGAGACAGGGATTCTTGCTGTGGAAATAGCAATCAGTCTCTGATCCCTCCCGATCCCCTGCAACACTATGCCTCTGGTGGCTTGTTACTGCTTTAAATGTATGGTGCAGTTATGGCTGGTATATTTGGCACCCAAAGAATCACAAACACATTGCCCCCTCCCCCACAACACACACCCCACCACCATCTGGGGCAGTAAATCACAACCGCCACCCCCCACCAAAGAGACAGCAGGAGTCAGCAAGACAAGACAAGAAGTCCAAAGTTAGTAACTCACCGAGTGCACAGGAAGGGTGCTATGCTGGTGGAGGAAGGAATTAGAGATGGACATAGTGAGGCCCTGAGCCGTGCCGATGTCCTCGGTGGCGATGGGCACTTTAGGTGGCTGGACACAGTAGGAGACAGAGGAGAAGGAGGAGGAGGCAGCAAAAGAGGCCTGCTGGAGGAAGAGAGAATGAGAGAGGAAGAGGAAGAAAGAGGAAGAAAGGAGGAGGAGGGAAGAAAGAAAGGGAGGAAAGAATGGCCTCAAGCCAGGCCCTGCAAACTCCCAGATCAAACAGCTGACAGGGGCAGGATCTTTTGAGACCTGCATAGCTTCTTATTCTTCTACATTGCTAAAGGAAATAGATGAAATTATAGAAAAGAAGGGAATATCTGCAACAGGATCTTTGTTTCATTTCAATGTCTTGCAGTGCAAGTTTATGAGGAAACATCTAAAATACAGAACCGGCTGCCTGTGTTTGATTTGCCATGTTAATTGTAAAGCCGGGCTCTCTCTGCAGACAAAAAGTCTGCTACGACTTTAAATTAGAAAACACCAGAAAAGGGAGATTGTCCCACAAGAACTAACCCCCCAAAGAGTTTTTGCCATTTTTGAGAGTTTCTGCTATTTAACTATTATGGAATTCCCATAATGGGTATCTGGTTGGCCACTGTGAGGACAGGATGCTGAACTAGCTGGGCCCTGGGCCCTTGGCCTGATCCAGCAGGGCTCTTCTTGTGTTCTACATCCACTGTTAAAGACAATATGCCTCTGAATGCCAGATTTGGAAGCAGGAAGAGAGCTATTGCACTCAAGTCCTGCTCACAGGCTTTCCATTGGGGCACTTGGTTTGCCAATGTGAGAGCAGAATGCTCGACTAGATTGGCCCCTGGCCTGGAGGTCTACGGTGATAGCACAACCTCCATGCCCAGTTGATGAGGAACAACAGGAGAGCACTGTTGCACACAGGTCCCACTTGTGAGCATCTAGTTGACCATGGTGAGAACCAGATGCTAGACTAGACAGGCCTCCTTTGGCCTGATCCAGCAGCCAGACTCTTCCGATGTTCGAATCCAATGCCTTCACCCTGGTGGCTTTTGGGTTGTATGGTCAAGGCCCTATAAATTACCCAAGTAAGTGAAATAAAAACAAAATCATCTATAAACATTTGGTGGGAGAGAAGAACTACAAGTAATGGGGCCTGTCTCCTCGGCAAGGTGGATAAACAAATCTGAAATGCATCCCATCTGGTGGGTCAGGAAGAGGAGGAGAGGAGTACTCACCAACTGCCGCTGTTTTGGTGGGAGGGCAGGGGGTGGAGCAAGATCCTGCCCAGAGTCAGCACTGCTGAAGGAGTCGTTGAACCCATAAACCTCCATCAGGTGCTTGTTCTTCTGTTGGTAGATGTGTTCATTCTGCGGTGTCTGGTAGAACATAGAAGGCTGTGGTTCTGAGTAGTCCTCTACAAACTGCATATAGGCCATCACTGGAACAGAAAAGACACAGGAGGGTGTGAGTGGGTTACCCACCTGGGAGGCTTCTGGGGAACCTTCCCTTCCCCAGCACCACTGGCTGCATCAATGGATCAAGGTATAGAACCAATCCAAGCTATCTTTGCCATTTCAGCTGTGTGGTAGCCATGACCACCAATGAGATTTTGCTCATCCTATAGCGGAGGGAAAGGATCCTTACATCCACCAACCCTCATCCTCCGAAGGTCATTATGGCAGCTGTGCACCTGTCAATCGCCTGACATCACAATGAGGTCAGGGGAAGCATTTCCATCTGCTTGCGTAGTTTGGAAATGAAGTTATGTAGCCAAAGGCACAGGGATTTGAACAGTGGCATCAGCAAGCCCAACACCTGATGCCGGGTCTTGACCAGGCTGGCATGGTTTGCAGGGGCAGACAGCCTCACAGGCAAAATAGGCCACTGAGAACAAGATACTGGTGGATGATGGGCTGGAGGTTCCCTAATGCTGTTCTATATGAGGGGGGGAAAGCATGGCTTCCCTTGAGGAATCTGGGGATTTCCCATTTGGAGGGGATGTGGGAAATTGGCCTGGTTACATCACAGCAAAGAATGAAGAAGAAGAAGAAGAAGAAGAGGAGGAGGAGGAGGAGGAGTTTGGATTTGATATCCCGCTTTATCACTACCCTAAGGAGTCTCAAGGGGACGCGGGTGGTGCTGTGGGTTAAACCACAGAGCCTAGGACTTGCCGATCAGAAGGTCGGTCCCTGCAACGGGGTGAGCTCCCGTTGCTCGGTCCCAGCTCCTGCCAACCTAGCAGTTCGAAAGCACGTCAAAGTGCAAGTAGATAAATAGGTACCGCTCCAGCGGGAAGGTAAACGGCGTTTCCGTGCTCTGCTCTGGTTCGCCAGAAGTGGCTTAGTCATGCTGGCCACATGACCCGGAAGCTGTATGCCGGCTCCCTCGGCCAATAAAGCAAGATGAGCGCCGTAATCCCAGAGTCGGCCACGACTGGACCTAATGGTCAGGGGTCCCTTTACCTTTACCTTTAAGGAGTCTCAAAGCGGCTAACAATCTCCTTTTCCCTACCTCCCCCATAACAAACACTCTGTGAGGTGAGTGAGGCTAAGAGACTTCAGAGAAGTGTGACTAGTCCAAGGTCACCCAGCAGCTGCACGTGGAGGAGCGGGGAAGTGAACCCAGTTCACCAGATTACGAGTCTACCGCTCTTAACCACTATACCGCACTGGCTCATTCGCATTTCCTGAAATAGTAAGTGAATCCAAATGTAGCCATTTTTCTAGATTAACACCTCCAGATTTTGTACATTCCCCATCCCCCAAAAATGTGTAACAAAAAAAAGTGTATCGAAGAGGGAAAGGTGCATAAAACTGTATGTTAGTGAAAATAATGAACCATAATGCATTCTATATGGGGAAATGGCTTAAACAAATATGTGCATTAGATAAAATTAAATACAACAATGTGTGAGTTGAGAGAAAGAAATGCACACCTGAATGCTGAGAAGTCATCCCAGTGACTTTTTTTAAAATGCAAAGTGATGTGGAAATGTGGAGAACTGAAAATTGGAAAAATGAACTGAGAGAAAACTTCCAGACTCCAGCTCCACCTGCAGCCAACATGGCTAATAGTCAGGGATGATGAGAGATGTAGTCCAGCAATATCCAGAGGGCCATAATCACCTTGCCTGTGATCTGGGTCAATACTGTCTGCACTGACAGGCAGAGCCTCTCTAGGGTTTCAGGCAGAAGTCTTCCCCCACCATTCCTGGAGATGGCAGGGATTCACCCTAGAGTTCCTACATGCAACCATGTGCTCTACCACTGTGGAATGTTGGAAGTACAACAGCAGGGATCATTTAGTTGGTATGATTGGCTATGTGGTTCCAAGGGAGTTTTCCTCCATATATTTGGATGTTTGTCTTCCTGCTATGTACAGGAACCAAAAAAAGCAAAACCTCTCTGTTCCTTTCTCCTCAAACTATACACAGTTTTTTCTGGTTTGCACAGGGAAGTATTATCAGGCCTTTTTGCTCTAGACAAAATCTGCATTATTTTAAGTGACTCTACTAACATGGAGCCCCTTCCTGAGCGGCAATGGGCACATGAGCCATGAGAAACGGAGTCAATTTCGCACTTACTGTGTTTGTTTTTCTTCTCTGGCAGAGGTGGCGGTTTCTCAGAGTCACTAGTGGAGTCCGGAATGAGAAAGTCAGTGAGGAATTCAACGGGGGCTGGGGAGTTCCCTGGCTGGAAGGGCAGCACGGTGGCAAAAGGCGTGATGGTCATAGGGGGGAGCAGGGTGGGGTTGTGCAGATCATCCTCTGAAATGTTGTCATACTGCGAGGGGTGCCTCTCGAACAAGACACGGCAGCCGGAAGTATCAAAAGTAGGGTTGACTGTCCCCCTCCTCTTCTTCTCTGGGAGAGCCGGAGGGACCTCAGCAGCCAAAGCGGCCGCCACTGGCAGCTGGAAAGTGCGTCCGTAGAACGGGGAGCCGGCCTCCCCCAGAGACTCTGGCAAAGGGCTGAGGGCGGTGGGCCCCTGCTGAGGTAACTGGTCGGCATTCGAGAGGTCCTGCTGCAGGAACTCGTAGTCTGGATCATAATGATCTGTGGAGAACAGAAGAGAGGCAACCGTCAGGAGACTGAGCAACAGGGTGCTGATACACATCAGGACAGACTAGCAGTGGGTGGTGCCCCTTGGGACTGGTGGGGCAGAAGCAGAGGTGGATTTAAGGGAGCACGGCAAGTTCAGTCACACTGAGCGTGGAGCCTCAGGGGCACCACAACTATTATGTAGCGTGGAAGGCAAGAGGTGGGGAGGAGGAGGTGCCAAATTTTGGCATCGCAAAGGGCACTGCTGATCATTGAGGCCCCAGGGTCTGCCACTCACAGGAAGTCAGGGAGGCCAACAGTAAGTGGCTCCACACACAGTGACAGGCAGAGCCAACTAAGGCCACATCAACACCATATATTTCAAGTACTACGACACCACTTTAAGCAGCCATGGCTTCCCCCAAGTAATTCTGGAAGCTGTGGCTTGGTAAGGGAGCTGAGAGTTGTTAAGGGAACCCTATTTCCTTCACACAACTACTATTTCCCAGAGATCCCTGTGAAGAGGGAGTGGCTGTTAAACCACTCTGTCCTGAGCATTCAGCTTCAATGAATAATCCTCTCTCAATCCAGTTTCTCCACACCAGGCATCATTTTTACTATACACCTCTATTACATCTCCCTCTTATTTGCCTTTTCTTTAAACTGCACACAAAAAGCAGCACCAGAATAGGGCCTTCTCAGTGGTGGCTTCCTGTTTGCAGAACAGTCCCTTCCCAGCAAGGCTCCATTAGCAGATGTCACTATCTGGTCTTGCTTGCCAGGCAAAAACATTTTTATTCACCCAGTCTTCTGGCCCTTAGTTTTCTGCTCTCTTTCTTTTTTAGCAGGGTAGGTTGAGTAGAATAAAACATAACATATACTTTATCATTCTAGGTTGTCTCCAGACATTTGTTTCTGTAAGTTGCTTTGAGTTCACATTTGTAAAAAGGAGCCACTAATCAGTCACCATCAGCTTAGATGCTACAGAGGCATTTCTAAACACCAGGCCCCCCAAACCCAAGCTGCAGGGTGCATGTACCCTGTCCCCTTTCCCCTCTCCAGGTCCTCTGGCAAGAACACCCACTCCCTACCTAGCGTTTCACAGCTTGTGTTGCGGGAGCACTGCCCGCTGTCACAGTCCAGCGAGGAGAGCTGCTCATCGGATTTGCTGAGCTTGCCCATGCTGTTGTATGGCGAGAGGCGGGGGGATTCCCCGCCATAGGACTGGCTGCCTCCTGACAGCCTCCGCTGCGCGTAACAGTCCGCATCAAAATCCTGGAGGCACAGAAGAAGAAGAGGAGGGGACTTATGTTTGTTTCATTTACTCAAGGTATTTATTTTATTTAAATATTTACAAGCCACACTTTCATTAAAAATAAATAACAAAGCGGTGAACAACAAAGGCATGATATAATGTGAAAACATCAATAAAATGCTTTCAGGTTTTAATGCGTTTTGAAAAGTTAAGGTTTTGTTGTCTTGGAATGTTTGGGAGTTGCATTGAGGGAATTTAGTTTTATTTATTTATTTCGTTTATATTCCGCCTTTCCTCCAAGGAGTTCAATGTGCTGTACACAGTTCTCCCATTTGTGGGGGTGGGGGCAGGAGGGTGATTTGGCAGGGGTGGAGCCAAAAGACCTCCCACACACATGGGGAGAGCATCAGCTGTTTCCAGCTTTATGTAAAGTATATAACCCCCTCCATGTTTATCTACTTAAGAAACTAGGCTTCTCAACCTTTGCAATAAAACTGTGTCACTTCCCTCCCCACCCCCTAAAAAGCTACACACACACACACACAAACATAGAGGCAAAGGTAGTCTATACCAAACACAGACCCAGACATACAGATTCAACATGGCACCCCTCCTTTTAATGATGAATGGGGAGAGGGGGCAACATGTGCCCCCATCACTGTGCTGGGCCAGGCCAAGCCTTTCAACTTCCTTGCCCTGGTCAGTGACAAAATAGGGACCAACATCATGCAGTGCCCACTGGTACTCTGCACTTTCATGTCCCACCACCAGCAATTACAGTGGTCTGCTACTCAGAGCAGAAAACTAGATGGGCCAACAGTCTGAACTGGCACGAGGCAACTTCCGACTTACCTGCCTATTTATTCCAATTGGCAAACTGGACCCACTGGTGGTCCGGCTCATGGGTGCCACAACAGCCACTCTAGTGGGAGATGGCGCCGACTGGCGTTTCTTCGGCGGCAGTGCAGGAGGAGGGCTGTGAAAGGTGGGTCAAAGAAAAACATGAAGACAACAACGCCAGTCAAGTACTTCTGGATCAAAAAGCCACAATAACCATCTCTAAGAAGGTTGGGGAAGGGCCATAGCTCAGTGGCAGAGCATTTCCTTTGCATGCAGAAGGTCCCAGGTTGAACCCTGCTGGCATTTCTAGGTAGGGCTGGGAGAGACCACCACCCTCCACCCAAAACTCTGGAAAGCTGCTGCTCCTGAGCAGTGCAGACAAGATGGAACTAGACTGATCAGTTGTTTCTCAGAGTCTCTCCCAGACCTACCTGAATATCCTAGGCCCTTCCCCTGAAAAGAAAGTAAGATTCCAGTCTTCATGGTTCTGAATAAAGTACTGATTTAAACAGGAAAACCCAAGAGGCTTCCTTCTAATGAGACAGACCGCTGGGTCCATCTAGCTCAGTACTGTCTACACTGACCGGCAGAGGTCCTCCAGGGTTTCAGGCAGGCAATCTTTTCCAGCCCTACCTGGAGATGCTGGAGATTGAACCTGGGACCTTTTGCAGGTAAAGCAGATGCTCTACCACTGAGCTATAGCCTTTCCCTCATTAGCTGCTATTTCCTTCAAAGGATGGAGTTTCTTATGAAGTTTGAAAATGGTAGTAAAACCCAAACCAACCATTCCTCTGCAATCAATGAGGGGGGGGGAGTTAATTGTTCCTAATGGGGCTGACCAAAAAAACACACACCCCAAGCAACCAGATAATGGTAAGATTTTCTAGATGCCAATATGTTTGCAAATTGTTCTGTTTCTGGGGCACGCCCATTGCCCCAGAGGGTGTCTTGATGTCAAAGCCCTTCAACAGTGAGAAAGCTGCACAGCCAACTCACACCAGTGACCACAGAGCCTGCAAAAGGAAAAGAATCTCACACGATTCTAGCAAGCCACACAGTATTTGTTTGCATCCCCCATCACACACTTCAACAAGCAAGGTGTTGCCGTTCTTCTTAAACAACCCTGAACAGCTGGGTGGAGGGTCATAAGAAATATCACACCCACCCACCCAACTTCTAAAAAATAGGTAAGAAGACCCTTGCTGGATCAGGCCAATTGCCCATGCAGTCTAGCACCCTGTTTTTACAGTTGCCAACCTGATGCCTAAGGGAAGCTCATAAGCAGGATCCAAGCACAACACTTGGCATTCAAAAGCATTACTGGATCCGGCCATGGAGGCAGAACGAAGCCACCGTGTCTAGTAGCCATTCATAGCGCTCTCCTCCATGAATCTGTCCAGTCCTAATTTAAAGCCATCTAAGTTTGTGACAGGGACGCGGGTGGCGCTGTGGGTTAAACCACAGAGCCTAGGACTTGCCGATCAGAAGGTCGGTGGTTCGAATCCCTGTGACAGGGTGAGCTCCCATTACTCGGTCCCTGCTCCTGCCAACCTAGCAGTTCGAAAGCACGTCAAAGTGCAAGTAGATAAATAGGTACCACTCCAGCGGAAAGGTAAACGGCGTTTCCGTGCGCTGCTCTGGTTCACCAGAAGCGGCTTAGTCATGCTGGCCACATGACTGGAAGCTGTACGCCGGCTCCCTTGGCCAATAAAGCGAGATGAACGCCCCAGAGTCGGCCACGACTGGACCTAATGGTCAGGGGTCCCTTTATCGTTACTTTTAAGTTTGTGACTATCTCTGCCACAATTTAGGAGCTCTTGTGTGCTTGCGGCTTAAGGAAGATAACAAGAGTTTCGCTTTGTCTTCTTCCACTCTTTTTTGCTTTATTTCCGCACGCCCTCCACCCCCATTTCCATGAAACCAGAAATGAATGCACCTGCACCTTCACCCGCTCAACTTATGCATCTAATCTCACCTTGCTTAGGAAATCAGAATGTTTTCCAGTACTGGTGGTGAGTGTGGCCAATGTATGCCTGCTCAGATGTGCACACACTGTACAGATACAGACCACACACAGAGACAGACAGATCATTTCTTTTTTTTTTTTAAATAATTTTTATTAATTTTCCAACACAAAAAAGACAAAGACAAGAACATGTATAGTTTCAAAAAATCCTACTTTCTTAACCTTGTTCCTTGACTTCCCCCCACCCCCTTCATGCATCCCAATTCCCATAATTGTGTCAGCAAATTATTATTTCTCCTCTTTACCATCTTAATATTACATCTTTTATGAAAAAATAAGTTTTTTTTCCTAAGTTGGACTCAAATTCCCTTCCATCGATTTCCCATTTTGTATTAGATAAAAGTCATATTAACTAAACCCAAAAGTCATAAATGTTTTTAAAGTTCTATTCTTCCCTCCCTCCCATCCCCGGTTTTCGTCCCTTCCCCAATACGTGTCCAAAATAACCATTCTAGCCTGGATTCCTCACGTCCGAGGCTTTCAAGTTTCTTTCAGTCCCTCTCCGCCGGTCTTGTTGGTAGTCCTTTATGTTGGTCGTCGAATCTCGAAGGAGTTCTATCCCCATCAAACCAGGTTCTCTTCCCACAAGGATATTTAGGAACAACTGCTGCAAAAGTTCCACAGGCCATGCATCTTCAGAGTCAGAGTGGGGGCCCCAATCAAATTTCTTCTTTGTTTTAAATACCTGTATTCCATATACTCCAGGGGGCTCCTCCTTCGTCTTTTGCATCTTTCGCAGATTTGTAATCAATGTGATCCCAAAGTCTCCTTGCTTGTACTCCACTAGTGTAAACTTCTGGTTGGTACTTTCCATCTTTGCTTTCTCTTTTCCTTGTTTAGTCTCCTCCACTTCTTGAGATATCATTTCTAATCCAGCTGCAGATTCTTTCTCACTCAAGTCCTCAATACATTCAGCAGAGCTGCTTATTCCAGAGGTCAAGGTCATGAGTTGTTTATTCATAGCCAGACTCTGCTCTTGTAAGATTCCCACCAAGTAAAACATTCTTTCGATTTCCGCTAGTAACTTTCCATCCGCAGCCATTGTAATATCACAGAATTCCCCCTAGAGGGAATCTGGTTACTTAATAATCTTTCTCCAACAAACCTCTGACTCGTTATTGTTTCTTTGTTTCCAACGATTTTAGTTCAATTGTAACTCATTTTAATCCAGAGGGATCTTAAATAACAATTTTTTCAGCTTTAAATTGTCCGTTTGACAGCTTTTGACAGCTGTCAAACTCTGTATTCCTCTTCCATACGCTCAAACACAGGACGCTCCCGGGCCCGGTAGGGGGGTTGTACACAGCAAAAAGAAAGCTTCTAAGATTCCACTCTTTCACTCCAGCTCAAAATTTCTTTTTACCAAATCTTGGAAGTTAATGTCTTTTTTAACTCACCCCGCAAAGGGTAGGCTCTCCAGCTTAGTTCTTCTATTGTTGCTTTAGATCGTCTGCAATGGGGGGGGTGTGGACTTCCCTTTAACACACCCCCCGGTCGTACCGAATTCAGAAATAAATATTTTAAAGTCCCAATTCCACTTTACTCACGGGTTGCTTCTTTTCCAGCCGAATTCAGGGAAAAAAGTCAGCGCTTTTCAGCCATGGCACGCGGCTTCGCTCCACTGGGGTAGCGGTCTACTCTCAGCACCGCGCCGCTCTCCGTACCCTCTCCGAAGCCTTTAAAAAGGCTCTTCGTGGGTCAGAGGGGGCGTTTAAGGTGCCCATCCGCGCCTGCGGTTTTTGAGGGTCTCCGCGTCGCCGTCGCGGCAGGACCCGTCTCCAGCGGAGCCGATTCCCTCCGGAGCTCGGAGGGAATCCGCCATTAGCTGTCCGCGCTAACCCGGAAGTCCCAGACAGATCATTTCTAGCCTTTTGTCATCAGCGCAGGAAATGCTGCCTTTTACTTCTGCCCTACCAACCCCAAGAAGTACCGCACCAGCCACCCCTGGGGTTCTACAGTCCATTCACACAACACAAAACAGCAGCAAGAACCCAGAACAGTGCTGGTTCTCTGCCTGACAAGCTGACATGGAAAGGGTTCTCTGAAGTCTGAAAACCTCTTAATGACAACTAGTTAATTATTTCAACCCTGACTGTAGTGACAAGAGGTTACTGAGGCAACTCTCGAACTCATTTCTTCCAGCTCTACCTGTTTTCAGCGACCCGGATGCAGGGAAGGGGAGGCTTGGGAGGGGCGACTTCTTCGTCCATAGGATCCGTCAAAATCTCCGCCGTCTGAGCAATCCCTGTTGTCTTGTTGAGAATCTCCATCTCACGATCTGTCAGGGGAAGCTCCGAAGGGCTGGGAAGGATGGAAAAAGCATGGCTTGCTTTGTATACAGCATTTGCATCACTATGGTTCATTTGGCATTGTGCACCAGGGGCCCAAAGAGGGCGCCAGGCACTGTGTAGAACGTACAAATATTTGGAAGAGCCAGTCACTCTCTCTGGCCCTTTAAGAAAGCACCTTTTCGAAAATGCATGTTTAACAATTAATTGATATAATTTAATTCAGTTCCTCTCCCTATATTCCTTTTGCTCATACAACTATTTATCTAATATATAAATGTGTCCAAATATAATCAATTCATTAATTAACTACTAACCCCATAGGCAGGGTACTATTTTTTAAACACTACAGTCTTTTAATTTACTGGATAAGAGGATATCACAATGCACGGGCATTTGATCACACCCACACCATACATTCAAAGCCTCTGGCTTCCACTTAGGAATCCTGGGAACTGTAGTTTGCTAAGGGTGCTGGGAATTGTAGCTCTGAGAGAGCTAAACTTTTAAGCTTGTAGCCGAGTTTTACTCAAAGCAGACATGTTGAAATTAATGTGCCTGCATTAGTCATGCCCAGTTATTTCCATAGGTCTACTCTGAGTAGGATTCACATCAGATAAACGCCTACCATTCCCATGATTTTTTTGGGTGGGGGAAGTCACAACAGTTAAAGGGCTATGAATGTTCCTTAAATGTATGGTGAAAATGTGACCTTATGTTCCACGGATTCAGCAGCAAACCAGAGCAAGAAACCCCACTGAACTTGCTGCTGCTTCCTCCCTTCATCTTCCACTATTTCTCTTTTGGGTGTGTTCCCTGCAAGCAACTGATACAGGCCTATCCCACGAGTAGCTTTGGTTTCTGACTGCTTCATCAGACACTCTTTGTGACTCACCTGTCCGTTGAAGAAGCAGGTATGCTGGGTTTAACGGGGCTTGTGGGGGACGGGTGTTCTTGCTTCTCAATAGTGAGCTTCACCAGCTCCTAATCATAAAATGGAATACAGGGCAAAAAGGAAGGCTCAGTCAAAGGCCGCTGCAACTTTATTCTCCACCAGAGAAAACTTGTTTCAATTCCGCTTCAAGGTTTTGGATTTTTCAAACCCCCAACCCCTTTCAAAACCTTCACCCAATGCCCTGGACAGAAAGAAATAGAACAGAAGAATGTGAGAACTGGAAAGATGCCTTAGTGGTCTAAACCATTAAAAGCTTACATTGCAAGGTGTAAACACAGCAACCCTGAAAGAAAGACCTGCCCAACCTCTGCTTAAAAGACCCCCTCCTGCAACGGAAGTCTGCCAACCCCAGGAGACAGTCCTGTCCACTTTAGAAAAGCTCTGGCCTCTTTGACATTTCACCCAATAGTGAGCTGAGATCTGCTCCCTTGCAATTTCCACCCTCTGGCAACAAAGAGGACTGAGAACTAAAGAAGTGTAATAACATAGGACAGTCGGCTACCGTCTTTTCAGATTGGGGTCCCTCCTCTAAATGCCAGCTTTCTGTAGAGAGGCCACTTCTCAGTTTCATTGACTTTGCTGTTCATAAGAAGCGGGGGGGGGGGGGGACTCTGGATCACACCCTCTAATGCTGGTAAGCCTGCTTCACCACCACCTCAACCTCTCTAGCTTCTAATTCCCCCCCCCCCCCGACACACATCCACATGCTGATGAGTCCATGAGGGCTAGCACCTTGCTGGCTTTAAAAACTTTTATTTTCAGGATAATGTATGTTTCCAAGATGTTGAAACCTGTGCGTAACCATGTCAGCGCTTGCATGGGGCAACAAAGAAAAAGTGACACATGCATTGCAAAGTAATATACACATGGAAAACAGCTCTCTCTATGCAGACTGGTGGCTGCCTGGGTTTGTGTTCCAAGCAGGCTTCGAGAGTTGGTTCATTGTAGATCATAGCATTGACAGTCTCTTTTCTGAATTATTATCTACCATGATGCAAAAAATAAGGAGGGTTCAAGCAAGACTTCTAAACAAAGGTGTATTGCATTGAAATGTATGTGTGTATGTATGTGTGCGAAGAAATAAAAAAGTTTTGGGGGTTGGTATATGATGAGCTAAAAAAGATCCTAAAGTATACATTCCCAAAAAAGCCCGAGGCATTCCTCCTAGGAATGATAGGAGAAGAAATCAACAAAGACGACCAAATCTTTTTCCAGTATGCGACAGTATCCGCAAGGATACTGTTAGCGCAGAGTTGGAAAACACCGTATATCCCAACGATCAGTGATTGGCAGAATAAATTAATTGAATACATGGATACAGCAATAATGACTCAAAAGATCAGGCAACAGAGAAATAATAAATTTATTAACGACTGGAATAAATTTCTCTCATACATGGAGTTGACTTTGGGAAATGTAAAAATTACAGTTGGTACGATATAAAAACCGCGAGGTACGAACTACGACTAGATGAAGACACTGCTGAATATATTGTTGAGTTATGGCTCTCGACGTGGTGGTGGGAAGTCTGATAATGAATCTGATTTATATAAGATATGTGTACTTAAGTAGTAAGAAACTTAAAATTGGTTTTTGTATTTCAATTTTTTTGGTATATTTTTTTTTTGTTTTGTTTTTGTGCTTGTTTTTATGGAAGATGTATTTATGTTTTTTAATTGATGTGTCATAATAAAGGTTTTTTAAAAATTTAAAAAAAAAAAAAGAAATGTATGTGTGTATTGAAATATATGAATGGAAATTTCATGGGAATGCAAGATATATCAAAGAGGGAAGTAGCTACTGGAAAGCGGAAGTGGAACGGATGAGGTTTGCTGGACTTTCAGAAAGGGCACCAGGGGGAAAGGGTTGGGGGGGGAGTGGGTGTGGGTGTGGCTCTTTCCTTTGTATAGTAGTAGACAACATTCCAGCTGGGCAAAAGTTACTCTTTCTGCACACGGCCCTCTTCTATCTAGGCAGCCAATCAGCATTTATCACAGCCCAGGGCCAAGTTACATCTGGTCTAAAATGTGTGAAGCAGGCTTGGCGATGGCGTGTGGTCTGGGGAAAAGCAGAGCTGTTCTGCTGTTTGCCCCGTACGGAATTGTGGATTGTGAGTTCTTCAGGGCAGGGACCTGTCTTTATACTCAGTAAAGCACCATACATGCTGATGTAAATAGCAACAACAATACAGTGGTACCTCGGGTTAAGAACTTAATTTGTTCCGGAAGTCCGTTCTTCACCTGAAACTGTTCTTAACCTGAGGCACCACTTTAGCTAATGGAGCCTCCCGCTGCCGCTGCACGATTTCTGTTCTCATCCCAGGGTAAAGTTCTTAACCCGAGGTACTATTTCTGGATTGGCAGTCTGTAAGCTGAAGGGTCTATAACCCGAGGTACCACTGTACTAGTATTTGTAATCTGTAAGAAGAAAATAAATAAGCAAAACAAGTGGGGGGAAATGATACCCTACTTTTAATATTCTCTGATGAGACGGGGGCACCTGGGTGGGCTTTAGCCACCAGCAAGTTGCGAATTCTGGGCTATAGGCTTGAAATTGTTTAAAAAGTGAAACTCTGAACCTGTCTACAATTCTTGTTTGAAGTAAGAGGAAGAACAAGCAAGTGGTAGGGCCTCTGTGTGGAGAAGATGTAGAGATGCTATTGGGTGACAGAGAGAAGGCAGAACTGTTCAACACCTACTTTGCCTCTTGTCTTCACCCAATAGGAATGCAATGCCCAACCTGGTGATAACGTAATAAATGATGTGAGGCAGAAGCTGTGGCCCAAGAGAGGAAAAGAGGTGATAAGGGAACACCTAGCTAATTTAAATGAATTCAAATCTCCAGGGCCTAGTGAGCTGCGCCCAAGGGTACTAAAGGAGCCTGCGGATGTAATCTTAGAACCTCTGTCTATAATCTTTGAGAATTATTGGAGAACAGGTGAGGTCCCTGCAGACTGAAGGCGGGCAAATGTTGCCCCCATCTTCAAAAAGGGGGGAATCAAATTATCTATGATTCTATGAGCTATGAAGAAAGAAATATGGCCTGAGAATACTGTTATATTGTGGAATCATCTGATTAAATACAGACATTCCTTAATGGCAAGGCAGATGCCTTCTGTACATGCTCATGCTCTTGATTTCTGAGGCTCATAGTTCCTAATTAAATTTCCCGCATCTAATTAGATTGCCTGCATTATAACTCAGAAACTTATTTTCCACTGCTGGGAGGAGAAGAAACAGGATGGTGCACCTGCAACAAAACATCATCATAGTAACGAAACATTTCTCTCCCATACCGGCCTCTACGGCCACAGCAGGCACTGCGACCTGCCTATAGTATGACTTTACCCGCAAAAGTGTACTCCATTGTCTACCAAGCAAGATGGATGCCAAGCAACTAGTCTTGAAACTTGCCAGAACCTTGTCTTGAAAATGATGGTTCCGCTGTATAAAGGGATGCCAAATCATACACAAAGTGCCTGGAAGTTTTAGTCCTTGTCAAAATCTCAAAGTATGTGTGATATCCTTCATTTATAGCTATATTCCAGAGTGAGTGGTAGCAAGTATCCTGTGTAAGATTTTGGGCTGTTTTCCACTGAGTTGCAACTACTATTCATGCTGACAAGATCACATATAAGACCAATTCTTTTCACAATGTATTTACATTGGTATCACCAAAAATATATGGTAACATTAATTTTGGATTTTTTATTTATTTACTTTTTATTTGGAGACGATTTAGTAATGTTTATTATTTCTGTCACAATTAAATTTCAAAAATCTTGCACCAACTGATATTCCCACCATAAATGATAATATGTACCAAGTTTATTGCAACCCCTCCAACAATTAAGTCATATAGTAGAAAACATTTTTGACATTTTGCAAAGGAGTGTAATACCATCTGTGTAGTAATTTTAAGGAGTTTCCCCCTAGCTATTCTGGAAACAGATTTTAAGGGTCACAATTCCCAAATTTTATTCCAATCCTTGGGAAGAATTTGCGTGCCAACAGCTGGTTCGCATATTTTGTTGTTGTTGTTAAATTTTTTATTCATTTTCAATAACATTCTTCCAATTAATGACAAATTAAATCAAATCAGTCCAAATTACAATAATAACAATACCATCTATTATATATTCCAATTATAAAATTATTATGAGGGGGGGCTTCACATGTTCCAGATGTCTAGAGATAATCACCCTCATTCATGTTTCTGCATTTTCGGCTATTTTTCAAATTCCAAATTAATATTATCCATCCTTATTCTCAGTCTGATCAGTTGTTTCTGTGGCTCACATCTTCTGTAGCAAAATTTTTATATTGTTAACACACAGGAGGCATCCCCCCCCCCATCTTATTCTCTGTTCAATTATGTTGGTGTTCAGTCCTCTTATCTCTCCTTTGTTCATTAAGTTCTCATTAAAGGCACCGGGCTTCATTCCAAAAATAGAGTTTATAAATGGCAAGTCAACAAGTTCTCTCAGATGTTTCTTAATGAGCTGGTGTCCGTATATGTCTGTATATAATGCTGTATTGTGGGGCATGCTTCCTGGGTGTATATTATGTGAGAATTATTTAAATTCCTCCAAGAACAAAAGGACACGCCCCCCCAAGCTCCTCCAGGCCCTAGAAGAGCTGGCAGGGATCCAGCGCTTCTCCATCCTTCTGTCCACAATTTCTGTCCACAATAATGTATAAAAATAATCCATACAAGCAGATGTATTTTAGAACAAAGTACAGTGGACACTTGGGTTGTGAACATGATCTGTGCGGGAAACACATTCGCAACCCGCAGCATTCACAACCTGCAGCGCTGCGCCTGCGCACGCACAGGTTGCGATTCGGTGCTTCTGCGCATGTGCAACCTCCGAAACCCGGAAGTAACCCGTTCTGGTACGTCCAAGTTTCAGTGCATTCATAACCTGAAAAAACGCAACCTGAAGTGTCTGTAACCCGAGGTATGATTGTACACCCCAAGTCCAATGGAGCTCTTTTCCATTAGAATTCCTCTTTTTTTTTTTTTTGTAACTGTGTGATAATGATTGCCATTTTGTTTCCATC